GGTCTGATACAGACCTCTGCTGCAGCTGCATTTATTAGATTGTATTGATTTGTCAGCAAACCCTGTAGGGTTTTTTAATGAAAGTTTACCTGTCTGGCTTGATCTGAGGGGGTAATGTTCAGATTGAACCTATTTCTAAGCCTGTGACTTTAGCAGAAAATACAGATAAGTAAAATTTTCGGATATTTTTAAGATGGGGAGAAGAGAAATGAAGTGTGGTGGTTTTTTTTTTTTTTTTTTTTTTTTTTTTTTTTTTAAAGTCTCTCTCTTCCACTGGAAAAAGGAAAATTTGAGAGGATAATTGAAACATCTGCAGGAACTATATAGAACTAAACTTTTTATTTTAGAAACCGTAAGAATGAGATGATGCAATCTATTTAGCACATGGACTTACTGATGATGCATTCATAAGAGCATTATAAATTCCTTACTACAGAGTAATGATAAATGTATCTATTTTAAAAATAGATAAAACTGCTGCCCATAAAGGTGTACGAAGGAGTATTTTGTTTGCTGACACAGTTGTAAAATAATAAAAAAAAAATCTCTGAAAGTAGAAAGCATCCATAAGACTAACTTATAAGCAAAGTATCTGGAAAATTGTATCCATAGTGCTCAGGAAGCGTGTGTAAATTGAAACCTAATGTTCTAGTGCAGATAGAGAAGGAATTCATATTTATTGACAGAAACACAAGAAAATAACTGTGACACCCTCATGTATATGTGTATGTAGTTTTTTATTATATAGTAGTTTAAAATGACACAGTAGTAAAGACCCGCTGTAGATTTTCCCTGCAATATATAAGAGGTAATTACCTTGAGCTATAGGTTGAAAAATAAAGAATTGAAGTACTTTATTAATAAACTGAAAGTGTTTGAAAGTATTAGAGTGCAATATCACATCAAACATTATCTTACTATTCAGGCAGAAAAACACTTACAGTGTAAGTGGGTTTCACTTTGTTCTCCCCTCATAACATTTTTCCATTAGACATTTCTTCCTTCCTCTTTTACACTGTTTGTTTTTTCCTGGAAAATCTTCTGTTTTGTGTATTTGTTTTCCAGAGCCTGACATATGTGGTCATTTATTTCTGCTGAACAAATCTAAAATTTGAATGAAGATTGCAACAACTTAATACTTCCCTCCAAAGCCTATTTTTCCGCTAGAGAACCTTTGCAAACTAGTCACCAGCTAGAGCTAGTCACCTTGTTGATAACAGTGTTTGGAAACACTGCATTTTTTTTTTTTTTTTCATCGTGTGAACATATTTATCCAATTTTCTGACTGCTGTTGTCCTTGCCCAGGTGAAGAGCGTTTCCCAGGCACGGTCTCTCTGCAGCTTTCCCAGCCTTTGGCAGCCCTGTTCCTCCAGCTCTGCTGGGAAATGTGGCTTTCTCTGCCTCTCAACCCTAACCCTCACCCTAATGAGGCGTGAGCCCTAGACAAAGCCCCCCAGCCATTAAAAACTTGCTGACACGTTCCCTTTGCTCCCTGCAGCCTCCTTTGGCAGCCCTTTCTCACGTTGGTGATGATGAATAAATCCGAAAATAGGCTTCTGCATGAAGGGGGGGAATTCCAGCATCTGAAAAACTGCAAAAGGTGGACTTGTTTTCAGAATAAACGTATGGCTTTTTGGCTAAAACTGAGCGAGCTGTTACAAGTAAGGTGATTACCACAGGGCCCGGGGGTGGTGTGAGCCATCACTCCCCCCAGCCTGCGGTGGCACCAGCATTGGCAAAGGAGTTGGCAAAGGCCAAAGCGTGCCCTCCAAAGCTGACGGTCCCCGGGTGGTCACCTGTGGGCTTAAAAGAGATTTTAGCGTGTTCCTCTGACAGACAGGACTGTTCAAGTTGGCTCTGATTCCTGCGCTGAAATTCCACGGATTGGTGTTGGGGTTTAAAACCAGGCAGCAGCCAAACACCCTGCAGTCCCTCGCTCACCCTCCCCTGCCCCAGGGGATGGGGGGGAAGAACTGGAGGGGTGAAGCTAGGCTGGGATAAAAACAGTTTAATCACTGAAATGAAATAAAATAGTAAGGATAATAATGATAGTAATAAAAGAAAATATAAATGAGTAATGCACAAAGCAATTGCTCAAGACTCACTGACCGATGCCCAGCGCGTTCCTGGCCAGTGATCGCAGAGGAGAGAAAATCCCAAAACCTCAATCTCGGAAGAGAGAGTCCCAGCTTCCCTGCCAAGCCTCATCTATACACTGAGCATGACGTGACATGGTATGGAATATTCCCTTGGCTAATTCGGGTCCAGTGCTCTGGCCGTGCTCCCTCACAGCACCTTGTGCACCTGCACGTGGGCAGGACATGGGAAGTTGAAAAGTCCTTGGTTTCTTAGCAAAAACTAAAAACTTCAGTATGTTATCAACATAAATCCCATACTGAATACAAACCAGAGCTATTCTAGCTACTAGGAAGAGAAATTCTCTCTCAGCCGAACCCAAGACAATTGGTTAATAGTAGGGTATTGAAATTTGTCTATAGTTTGACTATACTGCATGGATAGGATTGTTTTTGCACTCTTCTACAGCTGGTAAAGGTCAAAGTCTTGTGACTTGTACGGGCAATTCAAATAATACAGTTTCATCCCATGTGTTGCTCCTAAAATGCTCTGGTTTTGTTGTGTAACTAATTTAAAAGTAACCTAAATTATACATTACTGTGAATAAGACCACAGTAGGTATTTTGGGGTTTGAATTCTGAAAAAAAATGTCACCAAATTACCTTAATTACAAGCATGGCCATTAACTATTTTTCCTTCTATGCCTATACAATAATTAGCCGTAATTGCTACTGACACTGGTGAATTGGATGGCCATTCCTCCTTGTGTCATGGCTGAACTCTGGATACACATTAGAGGATGCAGGTGTTTTTTTTTTTTTTGTTAAAGCAGTGTCTCAAAAGTACTTACATCTGACTCATTTAAGACAAGTAAGCCATTGTAGCATACCATGGGTTAATGTTTTACTGTGGATGAAGTAGCTGTGAGACGGGACAACAGCCAAGCAAAGGTGTACCCATTCCCTCTCAGCTGTATCACACCACACTTCTTTCACACCGTGAAGAAGGCAATGTCCATACAGTCTCGACTTGAGATTAAACTTTTCATGGAAGTTCCCCCTACTACCCATAGCACATGGGGCAACTGGTGAGCTTGTATGATGTCTTGTTCTTTCTTCTGGGCCTTTTTTTGCTGAAATCTTGACAAAGATGCCAGTGGAAAAATTTCTCTCTGGTATTGTAGCAGCACCGAGCCCCGAAGGGTCTCAGAGCTCGCCTTGCATGTGATGAGATTCCAAAGCAAAAGGAGTTTCTTGAATTCAGCCTCTGTTTTTAATAATTTCAGTATTTTCCTACCTGACAGCTTTTTGAATACAAGTTCTCCACCAGAACAACGCATCTAGAAATGTTTCCTTACTGATAAGATGTATGGTGGTCTTTTCAGTCCCTCAGCCTCAACTGAGGCAAAAGACTTGCAGATCCTGTTTGCTTAGATAATATTTAAGGATGAGCCCTTCCTTTTCTACACATTTGAGTGATGTCTGATGCTAACGAGTAGGACTCCCGAGTGGCAAGCGTTTCTTTTGTTCTGGAAAGCAAAGTACAAGTGGAGAATGTCACAGAGCAACGTGCCCTTCAACAGTACCCCAGTTTAGTATTGCTTCTTGTTGTAGGCAGGATGCAGATGTGTGCTGGGCTCTTCGCTCGGGGTGGCTCACACGGCTGCCTGCTGGTGCATGCCAGGTGCGTGGTTACAGGAGGCAGGTCTGTCGGGCAGAGCAGCAGAGCAAGCACAGCTTCACGGCATGGCACGGCATGGCATGGCACGGCACGGCATGGCATGGCACGGCATGGCACGGCATGGCATGGCACGGCCCGGCACGGCACGGCCCGGCAGCTCGTCGGGAGGCCGTGGCCGGGGCCAGGCGGTGGTGAAACGGCAGTGTCCCTCGGGTGCGAAAAAAAGATGTGCCTTGGTCCTCGGCTGATGGGAGGTTGAAAGGTGCAACTTTGACCTGGTTACCCATTAAAAACAAAAGCTGGAGGATGAACACGAGGGAGACAGATCTCTCAATATTATGCGCCGCTCTGATATTGAATCCTTTCAGAGGGACGGAAGGCTTTATTCTCTATCAATATGATCTCCGTGGTAGGACTGAGCCTTTTAGAATGCAGTAATAGTGTATTATGTGGTGATAGTAGTTTCTTCCTCTGGGATTCCCACGGCCCTTCAAAATAACTGATTCTCCTGGAACAAAAAGTTAGGCATTGTTTATGGACCATTCTTACGTTTGGGGAAATGAGAACAGAAAGCTTATCAGATATGTAGATGTCCTGAACTGCAAATGGTCACATCGATGTCTTGATCTGTCTGGTTCGTGATCATTATGTTTGTCTAGAAAGACTAGCTCCTGCTGCTTCTTCTGCAGGTTGAGACTGCATACTGAGATGATCCAGCTGCTCAATATAGCAAAAGAAATTAGCCTCGTAGGAAGAGAATAGGTAGGAATAGAGAAGTAAGAGTTAGGGAGCTGAACTGGCTTACTGTGCAGTCAGGCACGCACTGAGCCAGTGCAAAGGAAGAAGAGAGTGGGATGTTTTGGTAGCATTTGGCCCTTTGATCACCTCCATCATATAGCCGAGGTGTAGCTTATATGGCTGCACTGTTACGTTAAGAACCATTTTATTTTCTCGACTCCCTCCCTGTGACGCAGGGCAGGTCCTTCCATCCTACTCCTGGCAAGTGTTTCAACTGTCTGCTGTGTCTGTTGTGTTCTCTTGTCTGGCTGAGCAAGATGGGGTCAATGAACGTACGGCACTCACAGTGAGACCAGGTCTGGTGGTGGTGCTGGGAGAAAGTACTGCAATACAGCTAATCTTTAGATAACTGCATGCAAAGTGGGTAACAGCTGAAAAAAAATTATTCTTCCATGTTAATTTGAAATCTCAGAAAAGGCAAATGCATGTCTCTTCTCTCTTGGCAGAACCAACTCCTTGCGAAAGGCTTGCTGTTTATAGAGGAGAAGGTTAAGCTGTGTGAAGGCAAGTATAGTAAGAAACCCATTTTGGAAGGGAGTTGTGCTTTGATGTTTGGTCAGACAAAATGATTTGCCTGTCTGGAAAGTGTACAACCCTTTCTGGTGCTGCCTTAGGGTGTCACACAACCTCTTGGGAGCCAGGCTGCACTGCAGCCCTTGTGAGGCTTAAGGGATGGTGGGCTGTTTGAATAGCCACATAGCTGCAGCGCTCCCACCTGACGTGTCTTCATCATGAGAGCAGGAACGTGGGTCTTGTGTGGCAGTTGAACCTGGGCTCAAAGCAGTACTTGGCTGGACGTGGATCCTGTTGCAAAACTGCTGAGAGCTGCCTTCTGCCTTTTATTTCTCAGTGTGATTTGCAGCTCGATGTAAGCACTGTTTTGGTTACTGTGTCATGCTTTTGAGAGCTTAACTAACAGGCTTTGTGTAAATTTAAAGAAAAAACAGTCACTTGGATGGGAATGCAGTCCCTCGGGAAAGAAGTTGATCACACATGAAGTTCTGTCCAACCACTGAGGTACAGACGCTTTTGTACCCCCGCAGAGCCTGGGGACGAAGGCCAGAGTGGCACAGTGACTCAGTGTTGGGAGTGTAGGGAGTTAGTCACATTTATTAACAGTTTGCTCAAGCAGAGCAAGTTGTCTAGAGCACATATCTTTATTCAAAACCAGGCTGCTGTTTGATTTGACCCAGTTTTGCAGCCTGTAGGGAAGATCCCTTGCTAATCACCAACTTGCTGTTATCTGGGTCATTAAATGCCAACAGACACTTACAATCTTGCATCATAGTTGGTGCTGGATTCCTCTGCACAGGTCTTCACCAAGTGACCTCTCCACCTGGCCAGCAAGGCCGTGGGACTCAGGCCCTGAAGGGGCTGTGCAGGTGTGCACTTCTTCAGCACTGGCCCTGTAAGAGGGGGAAAAAGGCAGATTCGCACATTTTCCTGAACACAGGTATCTGCCCTGCTACTGCCAGCTCTTCAGAAGGAGTGCTGTGCAGCTTATCATAGGTTTTATTTTCTGTATTCGTATAAAACTGTGCCAGTATCTGTTTTAGCATTATGAAAATTGAGTTCCAGTCTGTAGTAAGCTGAGAGCTGCCTGAGAGTAGTTTTCAGCTGCTCGAATAGTTTGGGTAAGGTGAAGTTTCCCAGGTGGACAGCAAAACCCTCTTCCTGTGCTTCATTTTTTTGTCCCTAGTTTGACACTGGAGCCACTTTGCCTGTGCAGGCTGGCATCTCTGCAGGAGATGACTCACGGGCACCTTTCTTTCATAGCGTGTAGGCTTGTTTCAGGTCTTGTGGTCACAACAACAAGAACTTCTTGTACACGCTTCTCAGTTAGCTCTCTCTTCCTGGAAAGTTTCTACCATCCCAGTACTTGGAGGCAGAATAATGTTCCTGCTGCAGGGCATGGCAATGTTTTACTGTGTCTGTTTTTCAAATCACAGCCTCTTTTTTTAGCATGATTTTTCTTTATACAGTCTGTCAGAATCTCTTTCAATGCCTGCAGGATTTATGATTTCTTGAAGAAACAAACCATTCCCCCTTCCCCTTCAGAAGAAGAAGTGATCTATGACATTTCATTCTGGCTCCACACACCAAAGCATTGGAGTCCTGGGAAAGAGGTAGAGGAGGGAAAATTTAAACATTCAATTAGTCTGTTTCCTGTTGCTTTTTTCACTTGCAGTTAGGAGTTTCTGGTAATGGGTAGCTGTGATGGGAGGGTGTTGGGTAGGTGCTTGTCTGCCTGCAGTTCCAGTTTTGAAGCCAGCATCATACCTGGCAGGGTGAAGCCTCCCTCTGAGCCTTCCGGCGGTCATCGGTGGGCTCTCTGCTCCCAAGGAAACGTCTGCAGGATCTGGTCCTGCGGGCTCTCTGATCTCTGGCCATGTCCTGAGCAGCACACGCCACGGGCAAGCACAGTGGAAGCCCGTGCGGAAGTCTCCAGATGGGGAAAGCACTTCAGTACACAGTGATGAGGCTCCATTTTACGTGTTCCAGTTCCTCATGTAGGGCCTTTAGTAACCTTGAGGCTGAGCCTTCAAAGCTGTCTTGGCCCACCATCTTCCATTGCTCTCCTTGAGCCTTGACTGCTGGTGGACTCCAGCTGAGGCTCTGTAGAAGGTATCCTGGAAAATCCTTTTGTTAGAAACCTATGTTATTAAACCTGGGTCTGTATTTGCACCTGAAATTTCTGGGGGATGTATCTAAAGCTTGAAAAAATAGTGCAACCCTTTGGCTTTTGAGATGGGAAAAATCTCCTAAAAGACTTAGAGGCTTTGGGCCCAAATGCTGAGGAGCACACAGCTCTCTAAGTCAAGCCTGTGTACATAATTTAAAATGTCTATTCAAACGATTATGCTCAGTAAAGCATTTTTTGTTAATAATAGGCTTTTGACCACAGTTGTATTCCTGTTATGGGAATCACGAGTTGCATAACTTAGTCTGCCTTCACTCTAAATACCCACTTACATTTGGGGCTGTTGGTTCGATTCAGAGTCATGTGAGGGGTGGCCACAAGTGGGTCTCATTGGGGAGCCTTCCCAAGTGCCGTGTTTGACAGGAGCATGGTGGCTCTGTGGCTCACCGGGGTCCTGTCTGTGCTTGGGAAGGGGGGGATGCCAGGGGGGGCTCAGCCCCTGTGAATGGTCTCCCTGACGCCGTTGCTGCAGGACAGCTGATGCTGGCTGTGACCTGCTGGTTTTCAGACTTCGCTGCTAATGTCCCGCCATGCTCCCACGCTAGTCGAGCATGCTAACTGTGAGCTGTGAGATTACACAGTCCCTTGCTGTGGAGTTAAAGCCTCTGGTTGAAGAGGGGCTTCGCTCTTTTTTTTTTGAATCGGTCTCAACTTTTGCACAGAGCTGACTTCTTTGCAGTAAGCGACAGAGCAATTTATGGTCTCTGTCAGTTAAGGCAAAGCTTTGCTGAGTGATGTCCAGTTTTGGATGGAAACTGTGAATGTGAAGGGTGGGTTTGTATGTCTTCTTTGGGGAATTGGAGAGTAGTGGGAAAATTCAACTTGATTTTAGTGTCCCTGTCACTAAAGCTCTTGCTCTCAATTTCTGTTTTCGTAGGTGAGGATCGCATTGATGTCCTGTCTGAAATCTGGGATCACTATTTTACAGAGACTCTTCCTACACTCCAGGCAATATTCTACCCAGTCCAGGTAATCTTAATTATAATTCAGACTTCAGTTGGGTGAGGCAAGGTAACTACAGTGTCTGCTAACGGCACATGGAAACTACTGTTCCATCAGCACTGTTTGGCCAGTGGCTAAAGAGGCCTCAAAATCTTTAAGCTAAATGTGGGAGGCAGTGAAGTTTGCCCAAGTCAGCATTAACTGTGTAAGAGGGACTGCTAAAATCGACCGGGCAAGCACAGTGTCTTGGGCTGGAATTTATTCTCTTTTGTCTACCCCCTGTCTGTGCTTAGGTAAGCTTGAACACTGAAACTGTTGGACTATACGTTGGCTAGACTAAAGCTCTGGACCATTTGTATTTATAGTCTTTACATTTTTAAATACCTGGGACTGTTGGTGCAGATGACAACTTGTCTTCAAAGGGACAAGTCTGAAGACTAGATGAAGAGCAAATGTGTTTAACTCACCCTGACTACTTTTGGAGGGCTTATAACCCAGTTGTGCCTTTGGAAAATCGTCTGTTGGGTTTTTTGAAGCTTTAATAAGGGAACAAGTAATTCTATGGGTAGAGGACGAATGAACAGCTTTATGTAAGGCCTGTTTAGAGTGGGTATTTTGAAAGCTGAGTATCCCTTTAGAAGTTTTGAGCTGTATCATTTTTTAATGTAGTTTTAGTCAGGGTTTCCATATGAGCAGTCTAATTACCTCCCCAGTCTATTTTGATCTTCCATCAGAGGAAAAGAAAAATGTACCTCATGAGGAGACTGACGTTCTTGGAAATGCTAGCCTTCTCCTCTTGACTTTTGCTTCTTCCACAAGACATGTTTTCCAAAGCCTTTTAAAATTATTTTTCCCTTGTATTTTTTGAGAGGCGGCAGGTAAAGCTCAAAGATTGCCCTTTTCTTCTAATCCTATTAAAGTTGGCATTTCCTAAAAGAGAAAGAACTTCTGCGAAGACAGACACTAACCTTTCTATTGTGTTTATTTTGATTCTTTCCTTGCTGCAGATGCTTAAAGGTAGGTGTTTGGCAGGTAAAACTGCGCAATTATAATATCTTCCCTTTCTCTCTTTCTGCAACTAATTCTCAGTCAGGGAGTAGTGACCTAATCTGTTTAAGCAGGGGTTTGTCTGCACTGCAGCTATGTGTGCACTGTGGAAACAGCTGAGCTAACTGTGCGTCGTACCCACTGGTGCTAATAATTCTGCCACTTATCAGGAAAACCTACTCCCCTGCTATTAAATGTCTCTAATAAGAAACTGAACAAAAGTGACTGCACAGTGGGTACAGCTTTTGGAAGTAACTTGGTGGTAGTGGTGAAAGCGTGACTATGGGAAGTTGAGATTCTTTGAAAGCATAACTTTCTTACTGTATTATAGTCTTGTCACACTATCCGAGTCACACAAAATTATTTTTCATAGAAGCCATGAAGTTAGGGAAGTATTGCCATTTTACAGATGAGGAACTGAAGCGTAACAGTATATTTAAAGCTTGATGGGCACCTAAGTCCTACACAAATGCACGGATTTAAACTACGTAAATACGTCCGAGAATTTGGCTCTGAGTGAGCTGCCCTAAGCTACAACAGAGAGCATTGCTGGTGCAGCAAGAAATAAGAAATTGCTCTTATTCCAGGCTGGTGTGCTAATAACAAGGTTGGGCTCTTCCTACAAACAGGGAACGGTGTGTGCCCATTTATACGGTGTGTCACCACACGTGAAGAGAGCTCATCTAGCACATCTCTTTCACCAAGTCACAGTTCTTCGTGTGCTACTCTGGCAGATGGGAAAGTCAGTTTACTGTTGTCTCCCCATCCTTTGCTGCAAACACCAACATAATTATTTAGTTGCGCTCTCCTGTGATCTCAGGAGCTGCCCATTCAGAATGAAACTAAGTCAGCCAAACGTGTGAGCGTATGTTACCGAAGGTAGTAACTAGAAGTAGCTTCCTATCTCAGCTAAGTTTAAACCCAAGGCTCATAGCTCTTGCAGAAATATGACCTTTAAGCAGCCAAGTTGGTTAAATTGCTGTACAGAGGGAAACTATGTAAACAGGTCACTGGCTTTTGTATAGTTGCAGCTGTTGATGTAACTACTTGGTGCGGAAAAAGAATAGCAAACCTTGTTTTGTTTGGCACAGTGAGATGTTTGTATTTTGAAATGGGGCATGAAGTTAATGGGACTAAACTGCATGATATAAATAAAAAGCGTGCAGCTGCTGAAATACAGTTCAGAGATAGGCACAGGTCTTTTCTACACCTCCGTGTTTCTGAACACACATTGATGGTTTAAAGCAGCAAAGTGCTTTTATTATGACCAAACTGCTCTCCAGACTATTTGCTTTAATTTGTATTTACATATAGATGATGCTGTTAATTATGACATTAAACCTATTATGAATTAATGATTAACTATGATTAATTCCTTCCAGCTAAATATTTACCATGTTGAGTGTGTTATGGAGACCATAAAATGGTTCCCGAACAGGCCGCGGGGCAGAGATTAATGTGCTGGGAAGAACAAGGGAAACTCTTGAGGCTGGAAAGTGCTGGGCAGAGCTGGGAGGAAAATTTCTGCTGTTAAGCTGCAGTGGGGCAAGAAAAAGCTGTGCGGATGTTAGGCATAAGAGAGGAAAAGGCGGTAACACCAGAATGGCAAATGGAGTCCAGCTGTGTTTAAATCTGCTGAGAAATATTACAACATCTTCATCTGTTAAGCCTGCTCACTTGTGTTGTTGATGTAAAAAAGTAGCTGGGAGGACATGGAGCGCCTTGCAGTGGAAGTCAAAGCTATTGCTTTTTTAAATGATGTTCGGTACAGACAGTCTCACTAGCTTTGCTCTAGCCTAAATCCTAAAATCTGTAATGGACTGAATTGTGGATTTTTGTCATATCAGCAAGGTCTAAAGTGTGGATGTTGAGCAAAAAGAGGATCCAACACTGACCAGAGGTAGGCTTAGTCAAGGAATACTCTGTACCAACCTCTTTCCCTACCAAACCTTCTCTGGTTTCTCAGCTCTGAGTGGCAGAAGCACGAGCTGCATCCCTCCTGGGCTTTGGATGTTTGCGACCAAATTGGATGGCGGTTGGGTTTCATGAATACATAGTCTTTTGGTGAAATACAGCCCCATTTTTGGCTTCGCTCCAAACCTAGTGATGCCTCAGATGAGGTGTTACTTGTTTCAGAATTTGTGTGGGACAGAGACTGAGAGGGAAGAGACCAAAGAGTACCATGAATCCTCAACCTGAGCAGCTGGGGGGTCCTTTGCCACAACAGCAATGGGCAGGATAGACCACTTCTGTCTGTGTGCATACATGTGTTGGTGTGATGCTCACACATCCCTGTATCAACTCTTGGATTTTGCCTTCTGTGTTTTTTAGGGTCAGGAGTTGACTATCCGTCAGATTGCTCTTCTTGGCTTCAGAGACTTGGTCTTGCTAAAAGTAAAGTTGGAAGACATTCTTCCTCTGGTCCAGACAAAGCTCCCAGCTTCCATTGTCCAGATGCTGTTAATTCTGCAGGTGGGGAGCCTCTGCTCTTCTTCATCTGACTCCACTTGAGTATCTCAGCCTCATTGAACTAATACAAACCCTGGAAAGGAGAGTGGGGAGGGTAGAAGATATGATGAAGGGGAAGTGATGGGTGCTTATTTGGGAGCAGTAAATGTAGAAATGAGAGCTGGATTTGAATGTCATGAGCTTTCCTGGGAACAGGTAAGGATGTTGCCATGAAAGGGCCAGGTTCTGCTCTTTGGTTTTTGGATTTTTCTTGGTATCGCTCCTCCCCAGCTAGGAACACTCTCAGGACTCTTTTTTTCACATAAATTTTCATCTCCCAGTTTCTCTGAATGCCTCTTTGTGCCCCAGTTCTTCTGCTTTATCAGCTTTGCAATGACAGGGCGAGTCTCCATCACAGCTGATTGTGGAATTTGAGCAAGCTGAGGCTGCTGGCTGCCCGACGCCGGCCCCTTGGCTGGCTGGGGTGCTGAGCAGTGCCCGTGAGAGGAGGAATAGCTTTGGTGGCAGGCAAAATGCTATACATCTTCCAGAGGCCTCTCCCAAGAGACCCAGACCTTCTGTGAGGACTGTCCTCTTTATCCAGACCTCAAGAGGATATTTTCCAAGCATGCCAAATACAGCCAAGTATACCAGCTGTTTTATCTTTTTATATTGCCCAGCCTGACAGTCCTGCAAAATACTATGTTGTAGGTGGCTGTTTGGGCTCCTCTCACTTTTATTTCTTCTCCAATATGCCTTGTAATGAGTGGCAGGGGCTTAAACTTTCTGAATTACAATCAAAATTGCAAAGTGGCTAAGCTGATATTTCTGCATGAGTTCTTGCTGTTCTGATGTTCCCAGTGACCCAGGCTGCAATAGCAGGATAGTAAAGTGCTAGCTCAATTTCCCTGAAGTGTTTTCATAAAAGAATATTGAGGGCAAAGAGGGTGTCAGAGTGACACATTAGAGAAAGAAAAGGTTGTTGAGGTTTTGCAGGAAGCTAAGTCTATGAATGGTTTCTGAAATTACTGTTAAATTGGTTAGTGTTACCTACCATCCTCACAGCTGTAAGTTGAACTACAGCGAGCGCTTTTCCTGCTGTCCTGCCTAGGAAAGGAGCAGTGCTTTGCCCAAGGTGTGTTAAGGCTTTTCTACAGAGAGATGTTTCCTGGTGGAACAGCCCTGGTGTAATTATGTTACTGTAGTTACACTGTGCAGATCCTCAGTGTGAGCGTACCTTGTACCTTCCTACCCCTTGGTCAGAAAAAAGACAGCTAGCTGCTTGACGTCCATAGCGTTACAGCCATGACCTGGACAAGGAGGCTGACCTGAATGGCACCTGGACCTCCACTTGTGTTTATCAGCTGTGCTCCTCCAAATGCTCTACCAATGTGGTCAGGACATTCCAGTGCAGAGATATTTGACAGACGCCAGGCTTTACTCAAAAACTTTCCTCAAAACCGTGTAAGGGTAATGTTGACTTCTTATGTTTGAATTTCAGAGTGTCCATGAGCCTACTGGCCCCAGTGAGGGCTACCTACAGCTGGAAGAACTGGTCAAGCAGGTGGTATCGCCGTACTTGGGCTTGTGTGAGGATCACAGCTTCTCTGGTAGCACCTGCTTGCTTGGTAAGACATGTGCATCGTACAGAAGCTCGCGTTGGGGTGCACAGGTTGGTGAGGCAGTGCACATCTGTGCTAGGGGAGGAGACAGTGCATGGCTCCATGAGAGACAGAAGACAGAGGCTAAAAGACCCTCGGAAGGTCCTGATGGAGATGGGCTGGATTTTAAAACTCCATGCCTGCCGTACTGCTGTCACGCCGGTGAGAGACCGCATCCCGTCCTTGGCTGCCAGCTCTCTACCCCTGCCCGCTAGCCGGCTTGGGCTGCCCGGGTTCCCACACTCACTGCTGCAGCAGCCAGCCTGTGCAAACAGTAGAACCGCTGGATGCTCGTTCTGAGGGATTACAGGGGTTTTTTTGCATGGAGTCTTCCCTCCATCTGAGAATTCTGTTGGAAAAAAAAAAAAAAAAAAAAAAAAATCTGTGTTTAAACTGTGGATAAATGGGTCTAGGTGAGAAAACTGGCACTTCGCTTCAGAAAGGGGATGCTTACAGTGGATAACATCTCCACACATGATCCAGGAGTTCCGCTTAGGTGCGTGGGCAGCCAGAAGAGATTGGCTAGCTAAGAAATGGGCATAGCGATGCTGGTTTGATAGTCAAGAAGATTTAAATGGAACAAATGAAGAAAGCTTCAGTGTCCCTCTGTTTTGATAAGCTTTAGCCTTTGATGCGAACTGTAGCAAGCTGGATACACGTAACCTGTCTTGTACTGCACCTCAGCAGCCCATGGTAAAAGATGGTAGAAGGATTTAGCAGGACTCAGAGAATCTGTGCCTGTAACAAACTCATGGCATCACTTTAGGCAAACGATGGCTGGGGGCTTTTGTTCTTGTGGTTGTTGGGCAATTAAATATCTTTTATGCAAGTGAACATGGTTTTACAGTTCAGCATTGATTTGCAGACTTGATCCGGAGGCTGAATCTAGACCATGTTCCCCCATAAAACTTGAGCTTTGACAGATTTGATTGTTTGGCTGTTCGTGGACATCTGCACGCTGCTGGGATAGCTTGAAAGGTAGCTGCCTGACCAGTACTGAAGTTTCTAGCCATCCTGGATTTACACCAGCTGAACAAGGCATTAGTGTCTTTAAAACAAAAATTTCACATGAATTGGCCTTGTAAAGTTTATGTGCCTTAATATAATTGTATTTACTTTGATTTTAGCTGTCATTTATTTGTGTGTATCTCCAAGGTGGCCTTTTGCCCCTGCTCTACCCTGTGCTGAGTGGCAGAAAAGAACAAACTTGTGCTTGCATTACGTGACATTGACAGCAGATCAGCACTTCTCTGCAAATAATCTTGGTATTTTCAAAGTGCTGCTGTGATGGTGGTTTCTTTTCCTTAACTCCCGTTTCTAATTAAACTTCTTTCTCTTCCTCTCTCCCTCTTTCTGTCACCTTTTTTACTTTCTCAGAACCAGTTTCTTCACTCACTGGGAAGCCTTTAATGGTGGTAAAGCCCAGTAGGTTCCCTGCAGTAGCTTTTTTGGAAAAGCACTGTTGGACTTGGGGTACACCTGCATTCTCGATGAATGCTGTGGAGGCCAAACTGCCCTCTGGACTGGGACCTTCAAGATGAACGGGTGTTGAGAAATTCGACTGAAGGTGTCTGATCACAGCTATGAACATACATAAGGCTTCAGCCTGCAAGGCTGCGGTAGCTTAAACTTGATTTAAAGTGAGAGAGGAGTAGAGCAGGGATAGATGTGAAAGGGGACAGGGCAGCTCACAGAGGGGATTTGCAGAGTCCCCACCTGCTCTCCCGTTATCACCCTTCTTGCTTTGCCAATGTAATTGAGCCATAAGCTGCTCTGTAAGGATGGAGAATGCTGACGGGATCCTGTTGTTTGGAGAAACAATGTTTAAATTGGGAATAGGGAAGAAGATAAAACATTCACCCGATTCCCCCCCAAGTATTAAGCCTAACATCACCGCTGATTTGAGTTTGCTTGCAGAAAATCCCTTAAAAACCCCTCCCAGTTTATGTTCCTGGTGATAACACACCAAAATAGAAATAAAATTTCTAGTTAAACTATGCATAACGACTCCCTTAAGAGACTCTTTTGTGGCCGGGAAAGTAAAGGGGGAAAAGTAAAGCAAGAAATGGATGTTCAAAGTTTAGCCCAATTTTTACCTGACTCTTACCAGAAGGGATTTTAATTTTGTTGCAGGAAAATCATCTGTGGATATTTTTTCCTCGAAACAGTCAGGCCCCAATGCCCTCCACAGCTTGCTGTGGCTTGGGCTGCAGATGACACTTAAAGAGTATATTTATCATAACCAGCCTCAAAAATTATTTGCACGTACTCTTAAGCACGAAATGAAGCATTTTGAATGAATGTATTACTGGCAGCAGCAGGGTGAAGTGTTGTCAGAGCTTGGCTGCTGCCAGTGGTGGAGTTCTGGCTGCTGACCCGTTCCTCCCTGCGACAGTATGGAGTTTGTTCTCCGCTTTTCTTCCTGGTGCAAGCTTCCAAAGCTCTTTTATAACCTTCAGTGACGCGTGCTTTCGTTACTCTACCTCTTACGCTCTGCAGTCTCGGTGGAGGTGTTTTACATGGTTTGAAGGCTTCCAGCTTTGTGAAACGAGACCCTGCACTTCAAGGAAGTTGGTGAGGCACAGAGAGCCAAGTAGGGAATAGCTTTATCAGCTGCCTGGGGGACAGACCTCAGGGGGTGTCTGCAGGGCGGTGGGAGGCAGTGGGTGAGCTGTGATCCTCTCCCCTTCAGCCCGCCAGCGGCCGGGGCACAGACTCCGACCCCTGCTCTCGGTGTCGGAATTGAAGCGGTGCTTCCTGACACTTGCACCTTGGGGTTGAGTTTTAAACCGGGCGTTTTCTCCCCGCTGAGTGTTTTTGCTGGGCAGATGGTTAGGCCCTGCACCTGTCAGTTCTGTGTCAGCACCGCACCCCTGCTCCACGAGTACTGCCTTCCTCTTCCACGCCTTTCCCCCTGGGCTGCTGAGGGCTGTTGCTGTGCACTGTTAGGTGTTTTCAGTGTCTAGCCCCAAAACCAGACATGTTTTAAAGTGGATGAAATGTTATTTTTCTTGCATAATCTTTAAAAAATACAGTGGGATAATGTTAGCAGAACTGCCTTTCCCTAAGCAGCTGAAGAGGCGTAAGGAATTTCATGTTAACTTCAGCTAACAGCATCTCCTGAGAGAACTTTTCCAGAGAAAGGGATGACAGCTCAGGTCCTCGCTGAATGTTTCTTTGGGGACTTGTGCTGCTTTAGCATCACTGATTCTAGTGAACCTGCATGTGAGAGCTGCCCGGTCCTCACCTCTGGGCAAGAGAGGGGACCATCAGGGTGATGAAGAAAGTCCCTCTGCTGCACTCCTTACTTTCTGGCTGACTTCTCTCGCCAGCAGCAGGATGGGAGGTGTCTCCTTACTGGAGGGGAGGCAAACCTCCTTTCCAAACCCCCCAGCAGCACTAACTAACGAGCACCTGACCATTCCCCACTGGTAACGAGGCGGGATGCTCGGCATCTGCGTGCTGAGTACCCTCTGTTCCCAGAGCCCAGCCTAGCAGTTTGGACTGTGGTTTCTCTGTGCCCTATTGACTGTTCCTTTTTCTCTTCCAGAGAGACGGTACTCCAGATTCCGTCCTAAGACTGGTGCACTGAATTATTCCTCTCACGTGGTGACGAGCCGGCAGCCTAGCGAGATGGCCCTGACCCCAGTGACAGAGCAGGAGGGCGAGGCTTACCTGGAGAAATGCGGGAGCATCCGTCGCCACACGGTTGCCAACGCTCATTCAGACATTCAGCTCCTGGCAATGACCTCCATGATGCACACGGGCATGGTGACTGAGGAGCCAGACAGTACCGACAAATGCCTCCTGCTGCAGCCCGGTTTCAGCCACAGGCAGTGCTCCAGTGAGCCCAGTATTGCCGACGGGCCAGAGGGAGTCGTGGCAGCAGGTAGGCAGGACCCTGCCGAGCTGAACTGCACGTCGGTCAGCTAGAGGAAGTCTGACTGAGGAGAGGAGAACTGTATGCACTAAGCTGGACAAAGTGTCATGTCATCCCTGCTGGGAAAAAAAAAAGGAGAAAAATCTGCATTTGGCTCATGTCATTGAAATTGCTGTGAGCAATCTTACGGCTCTTTGGGAACGCTCTCCAACTTTGTTTTTCTTGCCTGTCTGGGATTATTGTTGATGGAGGTACCAGACTGATCCCAAACGGGCACTGAGGACTGCAAAGATTTGCTGTTCAACAGCGCAGTCTACCTTCTGTAAGCTTCCTTCCTCTGCTAGTCCGAACCCTTTGGCCTCAGGTTTCCTTCTGTTTCTTTGGTCTGATACAAATTAGCCCCTTTCTGCTTTTCTGCATCTTTCCCAGCTTTGTGCTGCTTGTTTGCTCTTCGTTCCTGCAGCAGAGCTCTGTGCTGAATCTTCTCTTTGCTTCTGGCGCTAGGGTGGTGTTGGCCGAGGACTGCATTTTTCTCTTTCAAATTTAAACTCAGGGATGAAACCGTTTGCATCCTGCAGAAGGATCTGCTCAGGTGGCTTGTGAGAGAAGGATAGCCTTCACTTTGCCTCCCACAGGCATGGATGAAAAGTCCAAATCTGAACAAATCAGACTTTTTTTTTCCCCCCCAGACCTGAAGAGAAATGAGTACTTCATACGAACTTTATTTGGTTCCAGTCATATCTTTGGAGGTGGTGGTGTAAACTGGGTGCAAAGGAGGGGTGGGTGTGTAAACTGGGGGGGGGGGGCGCAAAATATAGTCCTGAGCATCCTGGCATTTGACATCAATTTACTCTCAAAAATGTTGTTGGTGGTAGGGCTATGGTGAATCTAAATGGATTCCTTTGGGAAGGAGACGCTGTGCAGGGTCTGTGCTTGTGTGGGTGACATAAAGGTGCTTCTCAGCACTGGGCCATCACGATTCCCAGACCAGGAGGTGACGAGCAGGATTTCCTCCGTGGGCTGCTCTGGTACTTTCAGCACTTGCAGATTTTGTGAGACCAAAAATAACCAGCGGGGTGTAGAAAGGAGCCCTGTCTCGATAGCGTATTCATGAAGTGCTCCTGACCTCCAGTGGTATCTGACTGGGCGCAGTGTTGCTTTTAAGATAGAGCAAGGGCTCTTTGCAGTCTTTGTTTTTGTTTTTATTTTGAAGATTAGGAGCAGGTCCAGTTTGCAAGTGCCCGTGTCAGGCACTGCAGTCCGCAGTGTCTGCTTTGTAGCGTCACTTGGTACTCAGATGCTGCTTCTGTGGGAACAGAACCAATCTGTTTGAGCAGTCCTCCGGGATACTCTGCTGATGTCTTGCTAAGCAGATTTGCAAGTGTAATTACAAGCTTAGAGGTGAACTGAAATGCTGCCTTAAATGTCAAATCCCGTTAAAAATACGGATATAACACCACTGCCACTTGAATCTAGTCCCTGTGGTACTGACTGTAAATAAATCTGTCTTGACAAGGAAACAGAAGGTTAGGATGAGCCTTCAGGGTGGTTTTTTTGCATGCCTTGACATCAACTGCAGAATTTGCCCTGCCTCTGTTGGGCATTAAGCATCTTCGGCTCTACTGGCTGCACTGAAAGTACAGCTCAGACCTGTCAGGATTTGGCTTTAGTAGCACGCGCGACAAAACCGAAGCAGATTATTATTTGGGAACAAAGCAGCAGAAATACCAAGCGATGAGCACAAGTCACACTGTCTTTGTAAGCGAGGGTGGTGGTTTGTCTCCTGTGGTTTGCAAATGTTGAAAGAGATACTTGAAAGGGCCTGTTATTTCTTGCAGTCACCTAAGGTAGCCGGGCCACTGGCCTTTGTGGAAACGCCAAGTGTTTGGCTCACCAGCTGTGCTTACATGTTGAAGAACAGAGAGCTGGTTGTGCTGGCTGCCTCCTCCTTGGAGCAGGCACAGTCCCGCGGAGACCGGGAAGATGTGGCTTTCAGCGGTCTGCCCTTCAGATGGATACTAGGATAAATCGCCCTTCTATTCATAAATCGGTCTGACCAGGCCAGCTTGTCATCTGCCCCAGGGTGGCCATGGATTGTGGTGCAGCTTCAGAGCCTCGGTGATGACAGCCAAGCCCAGCAGACCATGCTGGCCTCACCTTGGCGCTGTCCGCGCAGCGTGGGGCGGGTGATGGCGTCCTGCTCAAAAGGGATTTCTTTGGCCCCTTGCAGTGGTTTAAAGCCTTCTCTTAGTCACCGTGGGACATGTGGGGAAGTGACCACCCTGCAGCATTTCAGTTCACTCTTAGGAGTGCTTTCCTTCTTTCTCTTTCTCCTCTAACCCATTTGCCTTCTGTAAATACCCGAACCATTTGGATTAGTGAGCAGCGCCCTCTTTTATGGTGAAAATTAGAATGATTTATTTATTTCCTGATGTATTCTTGGATCATTTCTAGGGCTAATAGGAATCCAGTCCTGGTTTTAACTTGAATTTCTTTTGTTTTACATGTCTGTATAATTTGAATTATTTTGATTTTTGCGTCTGTTACTTTGCAACAATTTGCACCGAGCCACTCCGAATCATGCACTTCCCCCCGTTGTTTTGTTTTGGTTTTTTTTTTTTTTTTTTAGGGAGAATTAAAGCTGGTGGCTTTACTTTGTCAACTGAAGCAAACAAAACTCGTTCTGTAAGCTACACCGAGGGTCTGATCGCCAGCACCAGGCTTGTACGGCCACACCGGGCGCCCCAGCCCCTGCGGGGCCGTTAGGCACCTTCGGCAGGCGGGCTGGGCGCAGCCGGGAAGCGGCGCTGAGGGGCGGGGGGACAGCCGGGGGGACAGCGCTGGGTGGGCTCGGCCTGCAGAGGCTCAGTCCCCTGGCAGCGAAGAGCAAGGGCTCTGTCCCCGGGCCACAGCTCGTGTTTTGGATAGAGGCTTCTGGTCTGGGGTTACACTCCTTGGCCGCTCACCGTGTCACGCAGCCGTGACAGGGGCACGGGGCAGGTCTTTTCTACCCTCGTGGTCATCCACTTGAGAAAACCTCCCGGAAGAGCTGTCAGAACGGGAGGAACAGATTTCTCTCACCACCTCCCAAAATCTGTCTGCTACCTTCTATCAGGGTATTTACCTAGATTGAGTCACTTCCCATCACACCGAATCTGTCTTCTCTTTTTACTCTGTCTCCTCTTAAGGTAAGTGATTTATTCTCCATGTCTGTACAATTCTGACATAAATTTACTGACGAGGCCTCAGCGGAAAGCTATTCTTAGTACAACTGACTTTTTTCCTGACATTCCCCATGGGCAAGCAGCGTGTTTTTATTGCCAGCAAGCAGAACTTCTTCAGTCCCCATCTGGGCGGGCAACAACCTGGTTTTGTTTGTTTGTTTGTTTGTTTGTTTGTTTGTTTGTTTTCTGTCTGAAGAAATACAGTAGATCTTGGTGCTGGCACTGGTAGCAGCAGGGGGAGTGCTGCAGAGTTTGGATTGATGCTGAGTTAGGGTATTGCCCTTTCTTTTTAGGTTCAAAGGCAGTGGGTTCCCCTGGAAGTGGAACTTCTCCTGGAGTCATCTTCTGATGCTTACAACCCTGAGTCGACAAACTGAAAATGCTTGGCTCTTACAGGCAGCCTGTGTGTCCCGGAGAGCAGAATCTGAGTGTCTGGTGGACAAATTGTGGTGTTCATGGCGTGCTTACTTAAATGAACTTAATTCTGCTGTAGACCCAGAGTAGCCAGTTTGCCTAAGAGGATTCCCTGTTCCTTCCCAACCTGGCTCCTTCCCTGTGCCAGCAGCGGGGCTCCTGGGCCAGGCACACACCTCGCACTGGGGGGGGGGGGGGGGCAGTTCCAGCAGGAGAAAGGGGAGTTGAGCAGTGTAGAAACTCAGCTGAAGTCGATGACACTGAGCTGTTGTTGTGGTTTAGGCCGGATTGACAGCCAACCACAATGCAGCAGCTCTCTCTCCCTTCCCCTCCGGCAATAAGAAGGGACAGAGAGCCAGGCTTGGGGTTCGAGATGGGACTGGGATGGGGAAAAATCCCCCTTTATGGTCACGAGCAAAAGGCAGACTCGTTAGGGGAAGAAAAAAAGAACATACATTTATTACAGACACTAACAACACATAACAGAGTAGGACAGTGAGAAGCATTGCCACATCTTGAGAACACCTTCCCCCCACCCCTCCCTTCTCCCCGGGCTCAGCTCTGCTCCCGATATCTCTACCTCCTCCCCCAGTGGCGCAGGGGCAGGGAATGGGGGGTGCAGTCAGTGCTGCCACTTCCTTCATGTTCGGTGAGGGGAGTGTCCAAAACTTGTTCCCCCTGCTCCATCGTGGTCCCCCTCTCACAGGAGACAGTCCTCCACAAACTTTCTCCGACTTGAGTCCCTCCCACGGGCCGCAGCGTTCCCCACACTGCTCCGTCATGGGTCACTAACCTTCTCCGACTGGATTCCCTCCCACGGCTGCAGCCCTTCCCGAGCTGCTCCGGCGTGGGACTCCCCCGCATGCTGCAATCCTCCCAGCACTGAATTACAGCAGCGGGGCTGCCTTTTCCCATGAGACCCCGGCCTTCTTCGGGCACAGAACCTTGATCAGCCGAGCAGGAACAACAGGCTGTAAATCAATGTCTGCTCCACTGTAGATCTTCATGGGTGGCAGGGAGGGGCCGCCCTGCCGTCTCCCCACAGGATACAGGGGGGTCTCTGCTCTGGCACACCTCCCCCCTCCTTTCTTCCTCCGTTCCTCCACTGACCTTGGTGTTCACGCAGCTGCAGCGACTCCTCCTCACCAGTCCCACTGCCCGTCACCACGTCCCTTCTTAAATACGTTATCACAGAGGCGCAGCATATTGGCTCAATTTCCCAAACAGAAGTGGAGCTGACGTGGAGCTGGGGGAGCTTCGAGAAGCTTCTCACAGGGGGCCACCCCGATAGCCCCCTCCCCTGCCACCAAAAAACTCCCCCACTCCCTCAACCCAGGACAGTTGCCAGAGCCAGAATTGCAGGCTCTGTGCTAAGAGCCGAAGGTGCTGCCTGTGCAGAGGGCCCTGCCGTGACACCCGCACTCACACTCTCCGTGGGTCTTTCTCGAACTCGGGAAAGGCTAAAGAAGAGTAATTTTTTAAGTACTGGTGCTGTACAAGTGGAAGTGAGTTCCTCTCCTCATGCACAGCTGAAATTTAGAGCCGGACAAAGGGCTGTTCGGCTGTGGGAGCCGCAGCCAGCAGAAGCGGGTGAGTGCGTTCTACCCAGCGGTTTTAGGGCAGCAGGCACCCATCTGTGCCCCGGGGCCCCTCACCGAGCCGGGGTCAGGCCCCTTCCACACCCCCGCGAGGGTTTGGCGGGCGCTGTGCCTTCCTTGGAGGCGGCCGGGAGAGCACGTCCTCCTGCCAGCCTGCCCGTTGGGCTAAACCACCCGCTCCCGCAAGGAACGCCGCGGGTCGGGCCCCTCAGCGCCTGGAGGAGGTGGGGGGCCAGGCTGGCCGCGCTCCCTGGCGCCAGGGCTGGGGGCGGCGGGCGAGGAAGCAAGATTTACCCTGGCACAGATGCCCCCCCCCGGTGCCCAGGGGGGACGCGAGCTGGAAATTCAGCCTGCAGTCAGCTTGTTTCTTGCCCACTCCAGCACCGTTGGAAAGTCGCTGCAAGTTTTCTCAATTCCGAGTGGGACGAGCATGGCTAGAATTTGGTATCTCCCTGAGCAAAGAGGAGATGATTAGCCATCTTACTCATTTTTTCAAATGGGGAAGGCGGATCTGGCAGCACAGCAACAGCTTAAATGGGGTTTTGTTATTTATCCACCCATTTGGAGAGTGCTTACTGTCCCCCTTGCTGTCCCAACAGCTCCTGGTGAGGGCACCAAGCACTTAACTAAACAGAAATGCCAGCTTTTAAAGCAGCTTAGCATCAAAGAAACAGCACGGTCTCAATAACGGGGTGCTGAAAATTGTATGTGGTAAAATAGCTGCCACTTTCTACATAAGAATTGGCTGCCCTGCATTCATCACTTGCACCTAAAGATGCCTTGAACACCTGTGTTAGTTACATCCAACCATTATCCCCACCTGGGAGAGCAAGTGCTGTGTAACTGGTGTGCCAGTTTACGTCGCCCCTGTGTGTGAGTTCATCCCTTCCAGGGAACAAATCCCGCCCCAAGTGCTTCTCCCTAAGTACACAAGGAATAGCAGCTCAGGGTTTATTAGTAGTTTGGGCCGCGTTTCTCCACTCCAAATGATATAAATAGCAATTCCGGCAAAGAAGTAAGCGAAACTGAAAGTTGTCACTATTAATCAGTAGTTGCTGGTTGTGTATGGCCAACACACTGTGGGCCACAAACAGGGCTGCGTGTGTAGGAGACACATCTCTGTGGGAGAGGGCAGTGAAGAAGAAATTCCTGCAGATAAAGGAAATAGCTGACTAGATGAATCTTTTTTCCAGGTAATTGGTATAACAGAAGGTGGAGTAGAAGCTTAATGACAGTTTGGTCATCAGAGGTTTCGGTGAGCAAAAGGAAAGCAAACTCCTTAAAAAAGACCCAAATGTACACTGGTTTGAAGGGTCTTACCTACCCTGAACTCCTACCATGGTACAGAGCAGCTTTGCAGTAGCTGTAAATCGCAGCAAAATTCAGGGAGTTGACGTTTGAAGTGTCTGTCATTAGGCTTCAGAGCTAACTCCCACTTAAGCCAAGGGCTGCTTTGTATTTCTTGTGCCATAATTATTACAGACTCTGGAGTATCAACCTCTGTTACATTGGAAAATAGATTGGAGTCACAGAATGGTTCCTTCTGATCTCAAAATTTATGAAGACAGCTGCATTGGCTCACACCCAGGAGTTTTCTGCTGTTGCTATCATCATTGAAAATGACTTTTATTTATTTATTTATTTATTTATTTATTAACCTGAAAGCATGAGTTCTGTGAGAATTGCTTGGGCTCCTCAAGGAGCAAACAGGCCAGTCACAAGATGCTCAGGGTTCAAGTCAGTTCTAGACCAAGACTACGGGAAAGTAACAGAATTTATGTACATTAAATATCAGCGAGAACCCACAGAATCTGTGCCATACCCTGTAGGCCTCAGAATGATTTACACCCATTATTGGTAAGCAAGCCCTCTTTCCCACCGTGAGTTTTTAATCCACTTCACACTAAATGTTTATCGACCAGCATATATTAATGGTTCTTGGAGCAGAAACAAGAAGTCCTCACTTGTGTCTCTGAGGGGTGGCTTCACTATTAAAGTGCTAAACCTGCTGTCTTTCTTCGGGCTCATCTCAGGCCGATGAGTTACCATTTATTTGCTGTGTGGTTGGATATGAGATGAGAGAGTGGGAGAGGCAGTTCTGCAGGAGGGGACTGATGGTACGTGTGAAAAGTCCCTCTTAGGTGGTATGTGCTCTATATTTACAAGAAACACCCTGCTCTAATCTCTTTTTCTTTCCCTTTGGTGGGAAGGGGAGCTCTGAAGTGCATTTGGGACTTTGAATCTCAGGGATTCAGAATGACTCTCCTTTACAAGTCTGAGTGAGTGCCTGGGAGGGGAGAGAGGTGGGGATTTCTTATGATTTTCCCCCATCCTCAGTTTTTTCTCGCAGATGGTGGTGGACGGCTGTCACACGCTGAGCAGCACTGCGTTTGGTAGTGCAGATGGAGCTCCGCCGAGCTC